CTGGGTAAGGTTCGCTACGTCCTTAAGTCGAAAAGTGGTGTACGATCCGAGAGAAAGGAAGGGTTTTTGCTACGTCATCCCTTCGCCGGCCTGAAAGCGAGGTTGTTTACTCATTTTTTTTTTTACACCCTTATCAACATTAGCGGTCCAAATACCCATTTAGCTACGTCAGTTACTGACTAACATCAAAGACAGAGACGAACCGAGGAACAGACAAGGAGCAGTATATAAGATCAATTGCTCCGACTGCCACGCCTCCTACATCGGTGAGACTGGCAGAAACCTCGCAACATAACTACTATAAATTACCTACCGTAAAAATAGTTTCTGGGTGCTACCTGTACTTCGCTTAACCGCAATGTCCTCGATAACAGCAATCTTGTTCGAAGCCACTATCGGTTTGCTGGTCAACAAAGGTAGAGATCAGGCCGCAGAGATTCTGAAAGATGGCGATGTAACAGATCAAAAATTCCACTCCTTGATCGTCCGTGAAATAGACGACATCAAGTCAAAGTTGGACGCGTTATCAAAGAAAGATTTAGAAGCGAGTATCAGTTTCTTTGAGGAAGGAATCGCGTTTTTGTATGAAGTGTTTGACATAGTAAAGTCTACAAACGAGCGTGGTGCGGCAACAGCACAAGCAGCTTGCGATGAAGCATTATCTCTTGTTGAAGGAATCAAAAGGTTAGAACTTACTGGCCTAGACGAGTCTGCTACAAGAAAGCTTTCCACTGCAAAGAAAAGATTCGAAGATGCTCGAAGGGAAGCAACGAGGGCCTTTAAAAACGAAGGCCTCAAAACATCTGACCGCATTCTGGCCATGAAGTATCGAGTAATGGCAACGATATTGGAAACAGTAGACAATCCCGCTGATGCAGTGGCACCATGTGGAGTGTGTGTAAAGGAACTTAACAGTCTGTCAGCAGTACAGAAGAGCTTTGACGTTCAGCTCAAGACAGGCATTCAGAAAGTGAGGGGTTTATTTGGTATAGAGGAAAGAAGGGAAATAATTTCCAATGTTTGTCATGTGAATCGCGTGATCTTTGATATCGCGCTCGCATTGGGAAGACTTGACTTCTGCCCAAGTGTTGATATTGGAGAAAATAGAGTTATTCCATTGTGTGACATGAGGGTAAAAGACGTTTTACTCAAGCATGGTAAAGAGTATTGTTGTGTTCCATTACGGTCATTAGGTCAGGAGGGTGAGGAGGAACACAAGCTGAAGAAACCGTGGCGTATCGCTACAAACTCCAGCGGAGAATTTATTGTAACAGACTTGCATTACGTGAAGGTGTTTGACAACAGCGGCAATTTTGTGAAACAATCGAGTCTCTCTACCGATGAAGTAAATGCAACATGTGCTCGTGAAGTTGCCACAGACATGAGCGACAACATCTTCGTGCTAACCAGACTGGAGAAGCCTGGGAGAGAGTTATCTTATTGGGTTTATAAACTTACTAAAACCGCTGACCTACATCACAAGTTTCGTCTGAGGGGAGAGGGCTGGTACAACGGACTGTCAGTCAGTGATAAAGGGAATGTGGTGACCTTGCGGGACTGGTATACAGTGGAGGAATATAACACTGATGGAGAGTTTGTTCGCAGTTTTGGACAAGGAATAATAAGGTTTGCGTTTGCTGTCATAGTTATTAATGATGGCCGTACTATGGTAGCAGATCAAGCTGACCACTGTGTTCACATATTCGGTGAATCCGGCGACTATCTTGACAAGTTCAAACTGCAACGAATTGACTATGATTACAAAAGCATTACATTTCACCGAGCAGGTGAACAAGTCGTCGTTGCTGGTTCTCGAGAGGAAAAACTCCTGCAGTTTGAAATATACAGTAAAGATGGTGAGTTTGTGTACTGTGCAGAAATCGCAATTGATGGTGAGATCATTTTTGTGAGAGGGATAACGATGACAACCAAGGGACGCATTGCTTGTGTTGTGGATGACAAGGTATTCATTTTTTGAAGAGGGTTGTAAAGGGGAGGTTCAAAAAGAAGAAAAATTTGATAAACAATGTTAAGATTCACATTTCTTTAAAAGGAAAAATTCACAGTTCACATGGTCTTCATTTCATATTGTTACAAGTCATGAAAAGTAAAAAGTCACTTGTTTAATCCTGCATCATCCAAAAGCCTCTCTTTGAACTGCTGGTTTTGATGGTTTCTTGTTTTTCTAAATTGTTCAGTTATCTTTTTTGGCTGAATTCATTCGTAAGAAGTAGCTTATTTCCATATTTCCTTTTTGACATTGAATTTCCAATGTGTACGTAGCTTTTATGAAGATTTTGAAAGATTATATGAAGTGATAGTTTTGATTGTGATGACTTTAATGACAGAACATTTAGTTTCCTTCTTAGTTTGTAAACGAACAGTCACATGTATTTGAAACATTTTATTTACATGTCAATATAGCGTATTAAGTTTTCTTTTTGGGGGGAGGGGTGGGAAGAATTTGCAGAACCTTGGGATGACATTGATTTTATTTCCTGATTTAACTCTTGGCTAGGTTAATTGGTTTTGAGTTAACCTCTTGTTGCATTACAAGTTTGTTATTGTTTCATGTTTTATTATAGGCTGTTTATCCTATATCTTTATACATTGAAATTATTTTATTTTCAGATAGTGAAAGTTTTAGCCAAAATTTAATGCATTTTGTTGCAAATTGTAGTTAGAAATTTCTATAAAAATTATTGTGTTGTTACAAAAAAATTGTTTGATTTGTAAAATACCAAAACTTGAGAGAGTTTTTGGTCGGGTATCAATACAAACTTGTTCACTTAATTCATAGGGAAACCTTTTCATAGTTTCATTTCATGCAATGGATTTATTGAAAGGAATGATAGAAAATCGAAGAAGTATGGTTTTAGCAGAAAAAATTTAAAAAAACCAGTTCAGTTAATGTGGCCTGTTATTCCTGTTTATTCCTTTGGTAATGTATTAAAACAATTTTTACTTAAATCCAAAGATTTTATCCCTGCCATTTTCAGGATGTTTATTAGTCATTGCACAATAGAGAATTATCTAGTTACTGTGCATGTGCAAAATTTCCAAGTCAAATTTCAATTTTCTGAGCTATTTTTTCCTGTTCCAGAACATATTTCGAGAAGACTTTTCACTTTGCCTTTAGCAGCACATATTTTGAGCTCTGCATGATACTATAAGACTGTGATTATCATTCACTTACCAGGCAATCAATGTCACAAGTAAACAAGTTACTTTGTTAGTATTATTAGTAGTCTGACTAGTATACTTATTTAATGGAAAATGCTGAACAACTTTTAACCCTTTAAATCCCACAATCTGATAGTAATTCTCCTCTCTAGCCACCACACATTTCCTTGTAAATAAGTTAGGAGAATTTGGTGTTAGATCGAGATAACTTCTTCTTGATAAGTTTGAGTATTCTGATGACCTGTTTGCTGTCAGATAATGTTTAGATATTATAGGGAGAAGTTACATGTTAATCACTTTGGGAGTTAAAGGGTTAACAGAAATTATTTGGATTTCAGTGCAGCTTAATATGCCCACTGCAATTATTGAACAGTTTCATTCCTAAGCAATATCACTTTCAATTGATTAATAGAGTCTATTAAACCTACATTGTGGCAACTTAATACTCACTGAGGTTTAGTTAAATTGAAATTCCTAAAGATTGGATTTGTTTATCATGATGTCTTTAGCATTCCTTACAAAGCATTATTTTTGTATACAGTATGGCAATAGCATTGTTGAGTTTTCAAAATTTTACAAAATTGCCCAAGTGGGCAATTTGGAAAATTTTGAAAACTCAAGTGCAATTAATCCTTAATAGTACGAGGTCTCATGGGATTACTTTTTTATTAATAAAGGGCAAAATTATGCAACGGATTAGCCAATCATTAACAGGTAATCATGCCCTCTCTTGATTACTAAAAATGCCCTCGATTAAGAAAAAATGCCCTCTCTCTCAACCAATCAGCGCTCAGTAATTTTGCCCTTTATTGATAAGAAGAGTTATTGAGTTACTTTGTCGGAGACTTTGATCTGTGCGTGACACATGTCAGATGATGAGTGCGAACACTATGGACATTGAATGGTTTACATAATCAACGCAACCTTGAATGACCCTTTTAAATCACTACTCGGCAACAACCAATCAAAATGTAGAAAATATCGTATAAGAGAGTGATTTCTTACAAATTTTGCAGAGTAGCTTTTTACACACCTGATGTAAATAAGCGAATACGAGAGCGAAATAAAACAGTTTAATTGAGTCTCGTTCGTCAGAGTTCTATCCCTAGTAAACAGGACAAAGTTTACAAAACGTGGCACCTCCGACGGGACAATTCTGAAGGATAACAGTAAGGACAACTGTTGTGAGTATAATTTTAGTCCTGATTTTCCGCCCGTGCGAAGATTGCGGAGATGGAAGCGACTGAAGCGAATCTAGATATCAAAGTAACACAGCTTAAAATGAGCATTGGTAAAACGAACACCATCGTAGAAACAGGGAAGTCAGAAGCGATCGAAAGACATTTGTCCACCCTGCGGTCCCTCAGTAAAGAACTAAATCGAATGCGGATAGAAGTAGAAGCGACAAAACTAGGTGCGAAAGAAAAAATTGCCGACATCGAGGCGTGGAGCAGCGGAATCGACGCACAACTGGAAAAAGCGGATTGCGAAGTGGATAAAATGTGCACGTGGATCGACGACCGCAAAAGAGAAGCAGAAGCAATTGTCAAGCAAGAAGAACTTAAGTTTCACAAAGCGAAGATAGAGATGCAGGCAGAAATCCAAGTTGAGCCACACCCCCAACAAGCGACGACGACGCCAAGCGACATACAAGCCAAGCTGCCTAAACTGATGATAACGAAGTTTGACGGTACCTATATGGACTGGCCACGATTTTGGGGACAGTTCACAGAAGCAATCGATAAAACGGGCGCTCAACCGATCACGAAATTTACCTACCTTCGAGAACTACTGGATGTCAAAGTGAAAAGAGCAATAGAGGCGTTGCCCTTCACGGCTGAGGGATACAATCGGGCAAAGAGTATCCTAAGCGAGAGGTTCGGAAAGGAGTCAGAAATCGTCAAAGCTTACATCAAAGAGATTCTGGATCTCCCCTCAATATCAAGCCCAAACCCGAGAAAAATTGGTGAATTTAGCGAAAAGCTAACGTACTGTGTGCAAGCCCTGCAGACACTAAACAAACTGGAACAAGTCAATGGGGCGGTGTCTATGACACTAGACAAATTGCCAGCGATCCGCGGAGATCTCGTCCGGACCGACCCCGACTGGGAAAGCTGGGACTTTGCAAAACTTTCAGAAGCAGTTCGATTGTGGACCAGGAGAAATCCAATGGATATAAACCAGCGTGAGCGTGAGCAGGAACAGCAATCAACAAAACGGAACGTACGCCAGCAAGCAAGAATTTACCACACGCGTCGGGACGCCGATGGTAAACCCCGCTGTTGGCCTTGCGTTTACTGCGGCGAAGATCACAAAGCCATCGAATGTACAAGAGTGACACATGTCGCTGATCGCAGACAAATTTTACTAAATAAGCGTTTATGTTTCAATTGTGTGTCTGGGAACCACCGCGCGTTCTATTGTCCGAGCAAATCAGCCTGTCAACGCTGCCATAAGCGTCACCACACGTCGATTTGTGACACACCAAACCCGACAAGCCAAGTTAACCAGCCATCAGCACATGGGGTCGCTTTGACAACAAACCAAACTGGAGAGGGTCTGTTCCCAGTAGTCATCATAGAGGTCAACGGAATTAAATGCAGAGCGCTTATCGATTCTGGAGCCGGCAGTTCGTACGTGTCGGCAAAGCTGATCGAACTACTTCGCTTAAAGCCAACCGATGTCCAGACAAAAACGATCGATATGCTGATGTCCTCTAAAATTGCCAAACTCGAAGTCTACGATCTCGAATTAAGATCTGTCAACCATCAATTTTCGCTGTCCGTCAAAGCTACCAAAGTGAACAAGAGAGAGTTGTTGTCTATTGAAAACCCCAATTATCGCACGCTAATTGAGAAGCACCCACACTTGAAAGGCGTAAATGTTTACGATGATGACACAAAAGCGTCTCTTCCGGTTCACGTGGTGCTTGGCAGTGGGGAGTACGCCAGAATTAAAACGGAAACAAAGCCAAGAATTGGACAAGAGAATGACCCTATCGCAGAACTCACCAAATTCGGATGGTTTCTGATGTCCCCGGGAAAGGAGTTTGACAAAAACACCATGCTTCTCACCCAGACAAATCAAAGCAACTACGAAGATCTGTGCAGATTGGACGTCTTGGGATTGCGTGATATAGCAGATCATGACCAGTCGATGGTATTTGATGAGTTTAAGGAACGCCTAACACGCTCGCCAGAAGGCTGGTACGAGACCACGCTCTCATGGAAAGCTAACCACGCAGAACTGCCCTCAAACAAGGAAGGTAGCTTAAAACGACTCAAGAACCTCAGTAGAAAACTTCAACGCGAGGAACTGACGGCTCAATACGACGCGATAATTCAAGAACAGCTGGCAGAAGGCGTTATCGAAAAGGCACCCCCTGTTTCACAGCCACAGAAAGAGTTCTACATCCCTCACAAGAGCGTGATTCGCAAGTCCGCTGAAACTACAAAGATGCGGATCGTCTATGACGCCTCTGCCCGAGCGACACCCGATTCACCATCACTGAATGACTGTCTGTACCCAGGGCCTGCGCTGCAAAACAAACTATGGGACGTTCTAATTCAGCAGAGAGCCTACCCAGTTGTCCTAGCGGGAGACATTAAGAAAGCCTTCTTACAAATCCGGATTCACGAGAGTGAACGAGATGCCCTCCGTTTTCACTGGCAGACAGATTCGGACTCAGAAGTGCAGACATTCCGGTTCACGAGAGTACTCTTTGGGCTCGCCCCCTCACCCTTTCTACTAGGTGGGGTTCTTGAATGCCATCTCGATACCTGGGCGGAGAAATACCCGGAGGAGGTAGAGCGGCTACGCCGAAGTTTCTACGTAGACGACCTGTTGACAGGCGGTCAAGACGTACAGCAAGCAAAAGTACGAAAGGAGGTGACGCAAAAAATTATGAAGGATGCCACATTTGAGTTACACAAATGGCACTCGAATCATGCACAGCTGGAAGATGACACCCAACCTGCACAAGGAAAGGAAGTTGCCCAGCCTACTTTACGTAAAAACAGCGCCCAAGCCACATCAAGCGAAGATCAGTCTTATGCAAAACAACAGTTACTAGTCAAGCCAAGT